ACACACACTACGTTCCGGTGTCCGCCATCTTAGTTCATATACTACGAGAGCGCCAAAAAAAAAATCAGCCACACAAAAATAACTTTTCTGCTTTCTCGAGTTAATTACAATAATATGGTTTTACTTTAAATCTAATATCCGTAACCCCTCTAATCTTGAATTACGGCGTGGTCTTCGCTAAACGTAATCCCGACTTCTTCCGATCGTCTGGCAAAATGAATATTAAGTTAAAATCTAACACGAGAATAGAGGATTACGAAATAGTAGTCACGCTAGAGTTGCGTTTATATGTATACCGTCCAAGCAGGCCCATTTGAGTCGTACAGTGGAATCGGGCTGTGTTTACGAGAAGAGCTCACTGAGTTCGTGACGTTTAAGTTCCGCATTAGTATGCTTTGTTAAGACTGAGAAGGCAGTCGTATGGGTTAGCTCTTCGTTTTGAATGATAAAATTATATTTTTTGCTATATTTGTTGCAAATAAGTCACTAGATGGGGGATGCTTTGAGTGCAATCAGATGAAATGAGCTGATGAATACAATACCTCAAGTTACTACTACCTTAAGTATGAAGATTATCGCGAATTTTCAAGCTTCAGTGTCTACGACCTCGATCGAGCAATGGAACTGTGTTTAGGAGAGATGGTTCGCTGCGTTCGTGTCTCGCGTTAGGAATATTTTGTTGTTACGTACTAGATCAGGGGTGGGCAACCTTTTTCGGCTCGCGTGCCAAAATCAGCTAAATTCAACGACAAAATTTTCTCGCGTGCTGACCAAAATTAAAAACAATGCTTTGCTACTTACTAGCAAAAATATACAATAATAAACCTCTTAAACATGTACAGACCGATTCACTAATCGGGAAAATATAATTCCGAAATGATCCGATTACTTTTTTTATTCTATATCAGTGAGACTTCTGCTGCTGCATTACCGCTGATAGATAATTTACATTGGGTTTATATTTTGTAAATTTTAAAGGAATACACGAACTACTGGTTTCATCTTTCAGGCTACTCCTATTACGAGACGTAATAAAGTTCATAACTGAGAACAGAGATTAACAAGCATATGTAGGTGAACACATGGAGAGTAATGCAGTTGCAAAGTTTTTAGGACACGGAAAATTTTCGGGAATGGCATCCCAATCGCGCAATAGTTCGTTTTCTGCGCTTCTCTCTTGTATTCCTTTCCCTAATCGCTTATATTTATTTCGAAATCAATTTATAACAGCAAGTGAGCAAGTAACTCTCACCAACATGAGCTGTGGAACTTTATAAATCAAGCATAAATGAAGAAAAAGATGGGTATAGCCAAATAAATACTGAGCCCATTCATTTGTTATGTCACAATATATTTCTTTGTAGCCATATGTCATGAAAGGACAAAATAAGTTTAAATAGAGAACGGAATATTAACAAACGATATATAATGATTAAACGAACACCGAGTTTCATCGGTGACCGTACATTTGAACCCACATACATTTGAACCCACGTACAATTGAACCATGTACATCGGAACCCATGTGTATATCCGCGGGTTCAACCTATATGCGGGTGCTAAAACCCATGGGTTAGGGTTAGTATGGGTTCAAATATCCGTAAAACAAAAAAAAATTTCATAGGTGCAATAGTATGCAGGTGCAATTGTCGTGGGTTCAGATATAAGTTGTTCAAATCTACGTGGGTTCAAATGTACGCGGGTTCAAATGTAATGGAACCAGTTCATCTTATAATTCAGGAACTTTTTATTTAATGGAGAATGATCTTGTTTCTGATGCGCGCCACGCGCCGTTTCGTGAAATGCCAGTGAATGAAAAAGCTTGTGAAAACGATTATTGCGATTGACTAATCGATCCACTTCTTTAAAACAAACCTGTGTACGGGCGGACCAAAATTATGTGTAATATAAATGTAAATTGCTGTTAATGGGCATTCTTTAATCCAGTGGTCTTCGAACTTTTCATGACGCGACCCCATTTCAAAAAATTATGACGTATGATAAGCATGGCGCCCCCAGTGTATTGAAATGGAAAAAATAAAACCAATAAAAACTGATCACACATTTAACCAATTGCTTCTCTTCGCAGAGCTTTTCAGATTGTGGCATAATGTAGCTTAAGCTTCTTATCGATAAAACTTTTTGATAAACAGCGCATTTCGTTTGGCACTAAACCATGCTTTAAAAAAAGATTGATCACACGACCTATTCTTTTATGTTTATCAGCCATTTGTGAAACTTAGCAAACAATAAAGCAAAAGCAACGGTCATAGTTCATTACAGTAAAAACACAGCAACTGTTTACTTTAAAATTCAAATTATTGTCGTTACACAATAGCCTTATTATAGAGATATCACTCTAATTCAGAATATCGCTAGTCGGCCTAGTGAAGTGTAGACTGCACACTGTTGTGTATCAGCTCATTCTTTTTCACACGAACCCATTTGTGATAACATGTCATAATTACTTTTTCGTAATTACTCATTGTCTGCATGCTTATTATTCGTGTGAAATGTATAGCGTTAAAACTGTGTTATACTGGCGTTTTACTTATAATAAACTGTATTATTTTTGTCTACTGGCAATTTGGTAATATTCAAGACATCACACACACAATAAAATAATAACAAAAGAAAACATCGCCGGACACTCTGCGACCCCATAAATATTTAAAGCGACCCCACCTGGGGTCGCGACCCACACTTTGGTGACCACTGCTTTTATCGATCGATTTTTGTCATTCAAAATACTTTATCAATACGCGAATGGCATTCGAACAGTTTGCAGCATATAATACAATGCGGATGCGGAGCATCTCTGCAGATGCTATGTACACTATCGCAACTTAAATAGAGTTAGAAATACCGCTTTTGGCAGGTGATTCGTTAGAAATCATGCGTTTGTATCGACCCTCCAGATTGCCCTATTATGTTATTGTGACGTCGCAATAACGTAATGACGTACTTTTCGATGCCGTAGTCAGATTGGTCAGGAATGACATATGCAGAAATTGTTACACTACGCCAACTAAAAGTACTTGTGGCACTTTTAATTTCTATCATTTCGAATGCCAACTCCTGTCGCAGATTCAGATGTTTTATTTTCGTCGTGCATGAAACAGTGTAAACACAAACAATAATAATAAATCGAGTCAAAAAAAAAAAAAGACACACAACGTCGTATTGCAGAAAATTGCGCATCGCGTCAGGAATTGGTCAATAAGATAAATTTACTTCAATTTTGCTTGCTAGGGTTTGAAATATGATATCAAAAAATTAAAAATTCTTTGCCTTCTTAGTTGATGGGATACACACCTCCCACACACCCCACTCTCGCCTGAACAGCTCTCTCGTTTTGTTCCCCCGCAGAGCGACACAAGGGGAAGTACCTGGTCTTCGTGGTGTCGCCAGCGGGAGAAACAAGATATTCGATTGCAGCATTATGGAGCGGATGCGGTGCATCTCTGCAGGTGCAATATTCGCTATCGCAACTTGAATAGATTTAGAAATACCGCTTTCGCAGGTGATTCGTTGGAAGTCATGCGTTTCTGTTGGCCTTCCAGGTCGCTCCATTACGTTATTGTGACGTCACCTTAACATACTCCTTTTGATGACGCGATCAGATTGGTCAGGAATGACATATGCGGAAAATTGTTACAATACTCTGACTGGAAGTACTTGTGGCACTGAACCGATATCTATCGTTTTATTACTTGTTTTGAATAAATGCCGACCCCTGTCGCATTGCAGAAAATCGCGCAAGCGCACAAATGTTGTACATTATTAGCTTTCTTTCAATCATTTAATTACGCCCTTTTATATTTAAGCTGGCTTGAGAAAATAGGATAGGATAGGATTTACATATTTATCCCGGGAGAGAGGAAAGCCGATAAGACGGCTTATCCTTAAGGCGAACCACGGCCTCTCGTCCGGTTACCATTCCAAGTCGGGTATGGGATTAGTTTTTACTGTATTGTTTGTTTTCGGAAGCATGGACATTAGAGGTGCGGTGGCGAGCGTATTCCTAACGCTTAGCCCGTTGAGCCACACCGCCGCGCCAGAGAGTTTGTTTAATTTGCTGACAAGATTAAAATAGTTTTTACCAGACGAGCCTTGCAACAATACAGCAATGTGTAGAATGTGTTTTTGTCCGCGAGATATTTTCTTCTTGCAAGCGCACTGATTTCGAAGTGCCGGACAGGAATCAAATCTACCAGTGACGCAGCACAAGTCACATGGTAATTTGGCGCCAAATTTCGAAATTAGAGAACTAATGTCTGAAATTTTAGTTTTAGACAAATAAGTGAACAACAGTGCAGGAGTTAGGGTGTTGGGCCAACCTTACAGCTTACAGTTACTTTTGGTAATATACCGGTAGGTACCCGGTACCGGTTTCTTTAGGTGATAAATTTTACTCAATTATTATTGGTGTCAGTATTGAATATTAAAAAAAAATAATTATATGGAACAACTCACGCCAGCAAGATGCTCCAGTGTTTAAAAGTACAACAGCGGAAATTTCAATACATTTGCATATATTTTGTCTGTCTTTGTCTGGCCCAAGCCTAGTTGAATTGGTTTGTGTATTTTGCTGGTTTTTTGTGACTGTTGCTGTGTTGTGGTGCAGTGGCGAGCGGGCGCATGATAATTCTCATGTTTAAAAACACCGATGACATGAAATATGATATTTTTTATTGTGAGCATAGCCGACCTACAAAATTTATATAGGGTGTACTAGGGTATTGTGTACTGAACTGCAATTCCCTTCTATTGTGGATCCGTATGTGTTAATTGTCACAAGGATGCTTGAACGTGATGGTATTATAAAGATAAATATGAATAACATTATCTATTTCCACGAAATAGTACTGTAGTAAGTTTATTTATGATCTAACGAAAGCTCATAAATGAACTTACTAATTCGTGGAAAGAGATTAGGCCTATGTTATTCCCCTTTAAAATTTATATACTTTAACATTATATATTTCAGAATATTTTGATATAATATTACGATCTGTTACGACGTTTTTGAATTTATTAGTGCAGAAGTGTAAAATGTCAGAAGAAGACAGGAATAGAGGGATGTTTAAGACAGCAGGAGAACCAGAAGAAGAAGATGCAAATAGCAAAGTCACAAAAGGCCTATATGTCGACTCTCCTGTAGGTGACATCGTGACCAGCTTCGAGCCATTGATGAATGGGGGCAGTGGAAAGGGAAACAAGGGTTTTAACCCAGGCATAACAAATCAACAGAATACTAGGCTGAAAGAGACTGGGACTGCGAAAAATATTTCGTATTCAGAAGAAGAAACAATTTCAAACATTTCAGAACAAGATCATAAAGACATTGAAAAAAATCACAATGAATTAGGTTTTGAACAAAACAAATTTGGATTGGTGGAAAGAAATAAAATAAATTTCAATAAAGTTCTGTTTTGTGAGGAGGATATGGAATCATTATTATGTTTCAGTTCTAAAAATTCAGTCTCGGATCAACACCAAGATTTATTCAGGATTTCAATTTCGGATAGATTTTTTTCACTCAAATCAGTCACTTCTGTGTCTGTGGTTGGAAAAGAGATAAAAGAAGATGAAAACAAATTCCCTCATCTCCAAGGAGATGAGGTAATTGACGAAGATTCTGAAGATTCTAATGATAAAATGGAGAAATACTCAGAACATGGATACACTTTAAAACAGCTGATTGAAAAACTCGACAAACTTATTGATATATTATTAGTAATAGAACTTCATGAACCTACTAAATACTATGGCATAGGGGTGGATATGCGAAGCAGTACTAATACGAATAAACATTGTGTAAAACATAGGTTTTTTTTACTCCCTCTAAATGAACAATATTTCAAAGTCCTTATAAAATTAATTGGTTTACGATTTTGGACTAAAGTTATACCAAGTTGTGGAGTATTTTATATAATTGATTCAAGAACTATTGAACAAAACTGGAATATTTGGGGGGTATTTAAGCAGAAAGGACTGCTGTTAAAATGGGCAATCTTTGCGTATTATAATGATGAAAATTCAGATATGTCTGAAAAGGTAGACAGCCCTGACTTTTCTGGACTGGATTTACTAAAATTTAATGGAGAGAATTGTGAATTTAATAATGTGAAGAATATTGTAAATATGAGAGGGAAAAGTGAGAACAATGAGCAATCGATTTATGAAGAAAAGTCATTTGTATCAAATGAAACTGAAAATAATGAAAAAATTTCAAAATCTTATTGTAAAAATTTTGCTGCTACAAAGGAACAACAGAGATGTGGCATTCCCAAAAAGTCAAAGAAGGTCGCAGGAAGACAGAGACTAACCAGGATATCAAAGCACGCAAAGAAGTCACGTAAAAGTCGTATTAGGTTGGTGAGAAAGTATTTGCAAAGCTGTACACAAAATGACAGTGTCCTCGGCACTGTTGTGTATAATTATACGGACATACCGGAAACGGACAATTTTATGTTTCCTACGAATAACCAAGGTAAATAAGTATTAATATATTGAGCGGCAAGATGGTTCCTGGAAAATATTTTGAAGATTTAGGGTATGAAAAGTATTTTATATTTATCCCTGCATGAAACCCTATAAAGTTGGTTTAATAACATGACATACCGATACCACGGCCTCTGTTTTGCTACCATTCCAGATTGGATATAGGCATTCAGTCGATAAATTCAAATACTTGGACGTGATTGGGATGGGGGAAGCATCCATAACTATCGTATATATATGAAAATAATTGACAGCGATGGCCAAGTTTTTATACCACATATTAATGCCGACTATATCTATTTATTAATAATCCCCTAGTGTTTCCACTAAAATAATACCTACCCTGAAATTAAGACCTAGACTGAATTTTTAAAAATGATTTTAATATAAGCCCTTTCCTTAAAATAAGACCTAGTCAATAGTGCAAATTTTTTTTGACTTAGTCAATAGTAAAAATTCTCTTCTACACGTTAAAACGTGTTATTTATAAGTAAATGGATATTGGTTTTGATATTCTGTATATTTTAAAATCTCTTAATTCTCTACTTTGTAATTTTGTTTTTCATAATTGAAAATAAGACATCCCCCGAGAATAAGCCCTAGTGTTATTTTTAGAAAGAAAATCGAAATAGAAAAAAATTGAAACACGCTATTCTGAAGGTAGTACTATTGTGTTATCGCCCCACCATCACCAATTTTTTAACCGTCATAAGTTAGGTTAATGTTAGTTAATGCCTTGTCATTTCAACTTATCCTGACCTGAGATAATGATTTGGAGATTAACGATTCTGCAATATCAGAATATCACCAAAGTTTTTATACTTCATTTACCAAAAACATTGGCTCTCTGAAATTTGTAGGAATTGCAATTTGAATTTAGTTATTATCCTGCTTCTACATAGCTTCATCAAATCAAAACATACAAAGTTTAAAATGATTTCTTCATTTATATTACAACTCAGATTCAAACAGAAGAAGTAGACAAGAACATGGGCAACCGCAACGATCATCAGCGCAACAACATAGCACACTGGAATCTGATACTCCGGGAAGGGTGTCAGATGATGTCAGAGATCCACCGGGACAACAGAGTATATATATCCCCCCTGGTAAGTTCCTTAGAATTGGAGTTATTTTCTTGGGAAAGAAAAACAGATGAGACGGCGTGATCATATGGGGAAGCTCACAAAATTAGCTTAGCATGCAAGGTTGGAGGAATTCGTGATCGGCCAGTATTGCAAATGCACATATTGCATAACATGAAAGCAAATAGGCAAACACTTCTGTCAGCAAATTTACTGTTTACTTATCACATAATTATTTTGGATCTCTTTATTGAATTATTTGTTGAACATATTTAATTATGCTGTGATCAGCAGAACATCATGTGACTATTGCAAAACACAAAGTGGTTGACCTTGACCTAGGTTTGACCTTGCTGAGCAAGAGCAGGACTTTAAATGTTTTGCAACTAATGATTAAGTCTTCCATACCTTTTGTGGATTAGGCATTTGCTCCGACGTCAAATTTTGCAGATGCTGATTTCTGACCTTGTTAATTGCCCAATTGTGCTATAAAAACTGGATTCAAAGAGAATTTCAAAGTAATGGCATTTGAATTAGAACTATAATATAAATCCTGATCACAATATTGAATATTTGTTACGAGATCCAGGCTTTTTTGTTTGGTATTGCCTTTCCAATTTTATTACATCACTGAGTGAGGTGGTGTGCATGGGATCTGGACTGATATTTCTGTACTCCCGTTGTATGTGTACCAGGTTATGGTTAGGCCATGATATTATTCAAATTTTTTCCTATTTTAGTTCTATTACGAATTCAGGGACTTTCTGTGTTAGTCAAGTGAATATTCCCCTGCCCATAGGTTTCAGTCCCTTTTACACAACGTGATATAAAATAAGCGAACAAAATTAGTTACCTCCATATTGGTACACACACTTCTGGAACGCTGATATTTCTAGCCTGCAATAACATCATAGCTAAGACAGGCCATCAATCGCACCCTAATTGAGTTCTTAGATCATCATATGCATCATATATAAGACATGAAAAATCGTAGGCTCGCTACTAGTGGTAAAAACATTAGACTTAAATATTTTGGCACCACAACACAAAAAACGGCGCTCCAGAAGTGTGTACCGTATATCAATATGGAGGTAAATAACTTTGTTCGCCTACTTTACATCAAAAGGGACGGAAGCCTATGAGTAGGGGGGATATTCACTTGGCTAACACAAACAGTCCCGAACTTGTAATAGATCTAAAATAATGAAACTCAGTAAATAATGGCATAATCCTAACCTGGTACACGCACTACGGGAGTACCCGAAAATCTTGGGTTCAAATCCCACGATGGTTGCAATAAATCAGGTAGGCAATGTCGAAACGGTAAGTTTTCGGTCTCTTAATTAATAGTATGTTTCAGCAATTGATGGTTGAACAGAGCCTTGTTTGGAGGGAAAATATAGCATAGGCATCAGTATTTCTTTGCAACTGCTTACAGCATCTTCCATCTTGCTTATATTCTTTTCTAGCAGCCACACCCATATATTTATTGCCACACCTCTCCAGATACCGAAAGTTGTTTCCATGGTAGAGGAACTAATAATAAATTATAATTAGAAAGTCCTTCATTGACATAAACAAGCCCTGTTATCTCTCTATGTTCAAGCCTAACTGAGCATATAACAGTTGGCTTAAATTTCCATAGCCACACCCCTGCCACACCCCTAATTGTGGTTTGAAGTCTGAAACACCTGCTCCTTGTATTATATTCTTGTAGAAACATGAGGCAAGCCAGTGAATTAGTTCTAACTTTTAACCCTTTAGCTTATTCACCCCTTTTGCTCTAAACAACGATCTGTGTAAGCAGTCACAGCTCACAGGTGTCTAATTATATGTAAGGATGTATTATTTTTGGAATTACTGAAAATATTTTCAATTCTTCATTGCCTACCTGATTTATTACACCCTGACTAGGGATGGGCAATGTAGAATAATATACTATTCTACTTCTAGAATACTCAAATCAAATCAAGAGTATCGAATCATATTCCATTTTTATACTTATTTAAATAGTGGGAATTCCCCACCATATTGCTTGATCAGAATTAAAAAAAAGCTAAATTATATTACTTAATTTAGTATTAAATTACAAATGTCCTGAGCATTGAAATCCATTTGATATTGATTTGGTGGTCGAGGGATTTAAACACAAGATGCATAATTGTGTAACCTGCGGTGCTGACGTAGACTAAACTAACATTTCAACCACATGGCAATATGTCATTCTCATCGTTCTCGGATGCAACCGAATGGACAAACCATAAATCAAAAGATACTCAACCCCACCCCAGCCCACCTTCTCCCCCCCCCCCCCCCTACTCTGCAATGGAAAATTAGAAAATAAACTAACATTAACAGGTTTCCATTTATCATGTTTGGTAATAAAAAGTTAACAAAGGTAAATGAATATATTTGTTGCCAGTTGCCAATTTACTTCAATATAGTGAACGCAAATGTTACATAATTCCTTGTTTCATGACCCCAAGAAAACTGCTCTGTAAACCCCTAGGGGGCCCAAGGGCCCAGTTTAAAAAACCCAGAGTCAAAAGTCAACAAATGAAAGTAATGTTATTATAATAGTTAGTAGTTACCTAATGCCTCGCTCTGTAACCCCTTGGGGGCCCAGAGGGTCTTGTTGAAAAATCATGGCCTAGAAACAATGAATATAAGAATAGCAATGATTAATAATAGCTTTGTTTTGTTTCAGGAGACAACAGACTTGAACAATATCGATTATCAACATTTGAGCATTATCCAATTTCTTCTCCAACTACGAGAAAATCTCTGGCAAAAGCAGGATTTTACTTCACCGGATTTTTCGATCGGGTGAAATGTTTTGCTTGTGCACGAACAGTGGAAAGATGGAATAATACAGACATTCCTTCTGATGTGAGATGGCATAAGTAAGTTTGTTATTTTTAAGAATCTGGAGCACTGTTCTCACAGAAATTCTTTGATTAGTTGGCGCAGTGTTTCTTAAACTTACACAAATTCCATGGGTCCCTTTCAAAGACTCTAAACACTTATTATCCCCTGCTCTTCCATGAAACTTCTATTTTGCTTTTAACGATCAAAGAATCGAACAACTCAATTTTACTTTAAAATAATGTCTTCATAATGTGTTGAATGATACCTAGAGAGCCCCGAGACAGCTTCATTGCAGCCCACTTGGGGCCCAGGTCCCCGTTTGAGAAACCCACTCCGTGTTGTGTATTTGAGTATGAATATACGAGTCGATACTCTAATATGCACTCAACCATATTTCAGGGAAAGTTGTCCATTCCCAAGAGGAGAAGATTGTGGAAATGTTCCCATCAGAAGTTTATTCGGTGGAATCAATATTGGTGGTGCTTCAGCACAATGGAATAGCAGACAAAACGTTAGTTTTGTTCTGGGCTGGGGAACGGGTTCGAACTCACAGTGGCTCTGGCTCCAGTTCCGGAGTTAGAGTATAATCAAACGGTGGCTCCAAAGCTTCATTTTTTCTGTTGGAGCTTGGGCTCGGCTCCCCAAGTTTTTAAGTGTGACTACTGTCATGAAATATCTACAATAAGCAGTGGTCCCCAACCGGGCCCCTGTGGCCCACCAAAAGGGCCACAGAACAATTTAAGGGGGGCAACCATGCCAGGTGCAAAACTTATTTTACTTTTTTTTTACAAGAAAACCTCCTGTTCTTCCTAGTCTCATTGCTTGATAAGGTTATTCCACAGGGCCTTTGTTGAGCATGAATTGTTTGAACATAATGGCATTAGAAATCTGCCAACCACTATAATATATTCATACCATTGGAATGATAAACAGGGGGGCAATCGGTGGTAAAAGCCTTCGTATAGGGAACCACGAGGCTTAATAAAAGCTTGGGAACTACTGTATTATAGTATGAAGTCCACCACACTATAGGGTGGGTACCTCATGCTAGTACTATAGAGTGAGATGGAGATTTAATTCAAACGAGAACTACCGTGTGCCATTTTTGTTTTTAGGAACAAGTCTTGGAGCAGCGGGATCCTATCACAGGAGCAATCACAAGAGTTGTGAGATTTCCAGCTGATTTGCCAGAAAGAGTGAGACAAACAGGTAGAGTATCTTGGCTCTAGTAGCGTTTAAGATTTTTAAAATTTACCTGGGAAAAAAAAATGATGACGTGCTGAGTTTGGTGACATGGTGCACCACACCACGCCTTGCATTTCCCTACTAGTGCATGCATATAGGTAATCAATTATTCATTTCAGATTGATAAACTTGATGGTAGAGGAAGTCATAACCAACCAGAGGTTATGTGCTTTATCAGGTACTCCCGTAGTGTGTGTACCAGGTCAGGGTTGGGCCTGGGTTTCCTGGAGCCCCTGGGTTTCTCTCGTGGAGCTCATGGGTTTCTCTCGTAGAACTCCAGTTTTTTATTTTATTCCGATTTTAGTTCTATCACGAGTTCGGGGACTGTCTGTGTTAGCCATGTAAGTATACCCCCTGAACATAGGTTTCAGTACCTTTACACAACTTGATGTAAAGTAGGCGAACAAAAGTTACTTCCATATTGGTACACATACTTATGGAACGCCCCCTTACTATTCTCGCATGAGTATAGTTATCAATTATTCATTTTAAATTTATTGGCTTGATAGCAGAGGAAGTCGTATCCGACCAGTGGTTATGTGCTTACTCATAAGCATTCTTCTGTCTTTGTGTTTAATAGATTATCCCCTGCATTAAATATTGACAATCATGGTATCCATGTCAACAAGGTTGCTAAGCCAAATCTAAATTTTATGAAATTGAATCCACCCATCTTCTTAGGCGAAAGCTTTCGAATTTTAATTTTACAAAATTATTTATTTTTAAATTCTGGGTCGTCTGAAAAAAATGTTGGGAGCCGCTGCATTAGATTATTTGGTTTTGGCCATCTCTGCATGGAACATTAACATCCTGGTATCCATGACAACAATGTTGCTAAGCGAAATTTACATTTTGTGAAATTGAATCCACCTATCTTTTTCTTAGGCGGTAGCTTTCGGATTGGGCCGAACAACACGGTCCATATTCAAAATGGTCCTGGAACAACTCGAGGACGGCTACCCGGTGTTCAACAAGCGCCTATGCCGCCCAATCAATGGAGAATGGCAAATGTTATTTCATCTGATCACAGAAGATTTTTAACTAATTTACACTTAAACAGAGAACTCGACAGGTGAGATCCAATCAAATTCAGCACAATGATTACTGTAATGTATATTATTGCTAAGGGCATACTCACACTGCAATTCGCAGCACTTGGCACAGGCTTAAGATTTGATCGTTTTACACTAAGCTTATTTACATATTTTGCTCTGAACAAAGCAGCCATTGATACATGCCAATAACTTCTGGTAAATTAGATCCTTCATGGAGGATAAATTCAATTTGAGATTTGTTACGATACAAACTTCTCACATTTAAACGTAGCATAACAAAGGAAGATTTTGATTTATTCCTCAGATGCTCTATGGCGTCAGATGCACTTATATAGTTACTATAGTTATAGATCTCATCTCGCTTGTTCATTCGGCAAAAACGAACTATTATTCCCGGTGTATATGAATCTGAAGTTGTTGGCTCACCAAGAGGGCCACAGAGCAGTTGGAGGGGGGCCACCATGCCAGGCACAAAACTGATTTTACTTTTCCCTTGACAAAAAAATCTCCTTGTTCTTCCAAGTTTCATTGTCTGATAAGGTTATTTCACAGGGTGTTTCACTTTGTTGAACATTAATTGTTTGAACATAATGGGATAGGAAATCTACCTTTCAAAATAACACTCTAAATCCAACTGGAATAATAAACATGAGCGCCATGACTGCTAAAAGCTCACGAAAGGGGGCCACACGATATAAAAGGTTTGGGACCACCGCTTTAAAGGATTCAACATTTACAATTCCAGGTAACTAGATATCTAGGCATATCTGTGAAGCACGAGAATTGTAGTTGTACTTCATGTTGACAAAATTTTGGCTATTTTGACAAAATTAGTCATTTTTGACATTTGAGTACAAAAAATAACAAATTTCCTATTTTTCATTTTATTTTCAGTAGTTTTAATTTGGGGCTCCCGAAGTATGCGAACCAAGATGGCGGACATCGGAATGTAATATGTGTACTAGGTTAGGGTTAGGCCATAATTTTAAGTATAAAGACTACGGGAGGCTCTTGGCTAGTCTTCGAACTGATAATAGGACTAAAATAAGTAAAATTGGGAAAAAATTATCGCCTAACCCTAACCTGTTACCCATGTTACGTTCCGATGTCCGCCATCTTGGTTCGCATACTTCGGGAGCCCCTTTAATTTTTGTTGGGAAGTCTGATGAGCAGATTCTTTACAGATTACCAACTTGAGTGTCTTTGTATAAATCCAATGTTTGTGAATGAAGCATAACACATTTACCCTAATGTGAGTCTAACTGTTAACAAAGATCTTAATACAACCAAATACTCCAATCAGTTAAATAGGAAATAACACAAACATGTATGATACAGGTAGAGAGAAATGGCATAGAAACAGGATGGCAGAAATGGCATATCCCAATAATTTTAATCTTGACTCATTACTTTTAAAATTTGGGCTCTGGCTTTCAAGATTTGAGATTATAAACTTGAGGAAACAGGAGGTTTAGTATTGCCTGCCAAAACTTATCGTCAACTTTCATTTAAATCAATTTCATTTTAAGGACTTCACTGCCAACAAGGCTCTATATTAGGTACTCCCGAAGTATGTGAACCAAGATAGCAGACACCGGAATGTAGTATGTGTACCAAGTTAGGCCATAATTTCAGGTACAAATACTATCTATGGGAGTCATTTGGCTAGTCCCCTAACTTGTATTAGAACTAAAATAAGGAAAATTGGAATAGAGTTTTGACCTAAAGCTAACCTGGTCCATATACTACCAGAGTGTCCTACCCGGGTGTCCGCCATTTGGTTCTCATACTTTGGGAGTACCCTATATTTTAACTAAAGAAATATTAAATGTGAATTTAGCACTGATGGAAAACGAAACATATGGAATTCTATGGAAACACTAAAAGGCTGCAACGTTGATAAAACGATCATCTATGATAGATTGAAAATACAAGAAAAAGGAAATGAAAAAAAAGATATGGTCCCTCCCCCTCTGAACCCAAATAATGGTTCTGTAGCCCAGCCCAACATTGCCCCTGCACCAGGTAGGTTGAAATAGAATTTGTGTATCCTTTAAGAGAGGAAAGTTGATGATATGTAAATTAGTATTTATTGTTGCAAAACACACCACAAATTCTATATAGTCTTCGCATTTCAGTGCCTGCCTGTAACTTTGCTTAAATTTGGGTCTCTTTTTTATTACAGAGTAAACACAACGTCTTAATTTTAGATAGTTCAGTAGCTCTTGACAATTAAGTGGCCGCCATTTACTTTTCTTAAAGATAAGTTTTTTTACTTTTTGAGTGAATGCACCAAATTAATCTCATATAGTTTTAATAGTTAATGGCATATACGTGGGGACTATCCGAATGGAGTTTTTTTTTTACTTTTTGGGTGAATGTACCACTTCAACTCCATATAGTTTCAATAGTTCTTTGTGGATGACCATACCCTATCAGCTCTCTTCCCCATAATTTCTTTATTATAATAGCTATGTTTTTCACACAGGCATCCGTGGTTATCTGGAAAGGTACGAGACATACTTTGATATACCAATCTACAAGAGATGTCCTTCTCTACATTTGGAGCAATTGGCCAGGATTGGTTTCAAATTCATTAAACCAGACCCCGGGCAGGCAGGACGCATTATATGCACAGAGTAAGAATTCTATTTTTGTTCCGCAAAAAGTAAAATTAAATATATTCCACCATATTTCATTAATAACAGAATAGGGAGTACATGGGCCTGATTCACCATTAGGACTTTGCTTAATGGCAGTGGCTCCTAAAAAGTGCATCAAAATTTTATATGAGTTGCGTATTATCAGTCTTTTTCTTAAAAAAAGTCTTCATAAATGCGTCCATCACGGATTTGACATAACTAAAATTAGACATATTTCTGCTAATAATTTGAAACTTTATTTTAAAAAAACACTATTTTAATCAATAAGATAGTTTATTCACATTGCTGGTTATCAGTCCATGCTTTCGAAAACAAATAACTAACTAACTCCATACCTGACACGGACTGGTAACCGGACAAGAGGCGTGGTTCACCATATGATTAAAACATCACATCAGCTTTCTTTTCTCCCAGAATAATTATATGAATCCTATTCTGGTTGGGCAAGAGAATGAGATCAGTTAAATAATTTAGAGATTTGTGATGCTTTGATTTTCTTTTATTACAGTTGTGGAAAACTACATTCATTCACAGACATTATACGCAGATCTCCAAAAAACTTCGTTTGGCATGAAAATGGTTGCTCGTTCGAGAACAAACGTTTTCCTTGTGATCATTGTGAGAACTTAAACGTGCACGAACAAGATTGGGAATGGTGCAACAAGTGTGGACAAGATATCCTACCGGTAGGTCTATATTGAAGAGATGATAGGATTTCATATTCATCCCGGTGGGGAGAAAAACTTATAATATTAGTTAATCATATGGTGAACCCCGGCTTTCAGTTTGGTTACCAGTCCCTGTCGAGAATAGTTTTTCCAGGTGCATGTTCTTAATAAAACATTAAGCTGTAACTGACCCACTTTTCCCAAGTATGAAAAGATGGCCAGTTTAGCAATGTCGGATAGGCTTTCTCTGAACACCCCCACCAGGCCGCCCGTTTTTTAAATAACAAATAAGTACGGTAATTATCCATATTAAGATCTCTACATGTGTCGGGTCATCTGAGTCTCAATGACTCATGTAGCAATTTTGTCATGGACTCGAGTGCTGCAAATGAAATAACTCAGACTCATCAACTAACTGCCTGTGAGACTTAACTTAGTGATCGAATCAGATGACCTGTAACCCGATTGACACACAACTATGGGAGTTCTAGTCAATACTGATAAATAATGCCAAACCTGATGAAACCTTTTCGAGAGATAATAACTTTTAATTACATGTGTCATTACATGTATACGCTTTTCTTGGTACTCCCATAGTATGTGAACCAAGATGTCGAACACCGGAACGTAGTATGTGTATCAGGTTAGGCCTTAATTTCAGGTGCTAATACTACAAGAGTAAATAATAGACTTAAAATAAGGAAAATTGGAATAAAATTATAGCCTAACCTGGTATACATACATACTATATTCAGGTATCCGCTCTCGTGTTGCGCATACTATGGAAGTGCCCTTTTCTTAATAGGAAAGATGTGAAAATTCCACAGGGAAAAAATTACAGATAATTATTAAATCCTATGGAGGTCGTCCATCCGTTCTTGACATTTCTATAAAAATTTATTTCCAGGTCAAAGCTTTCTCAGAATTGGAGCAACATCTTCAAATGATCCCTGAGCAGCAAGCGCAACAAAACCACGCCTTCATATCTTGCTTGGTTTGCAACCAGGATGTTGATTCACGACAGAATGTAGATACCTGCACTGTATGCGGCGGTCCTTTATGCATCTGCTACGGTTACCACAACCATTAGGAAGGATATGCCTCGTAATTGTAGTAAATAAGCATACCTCCGCTATAAAACTGAAATAATCACATTTTTCAAAAAGAGACTCTTTTTTCAATATTCTGTCATTATAGAACAGGGCCGCACATCTTTTGGTCTGGGTTTCAATGCTATACCTTATTTCGTTTTGATTTTTGGTAGTGCCTTATGTCCGTTTTTAGTTTTGCTGTACATTTCTGAAAATTACAAAAATGTGATTCCATCTAAACTTTAAAATGTGACATAAGCTGGTCTGGTTTCACTACTTCAAAGACATAGAGAGAGAGAAATTAAATTGAACGTCAGTCACACACGCTCACTCAGAAATAAAGACAGATTTCTGATCGACGTTACGGATGATCGACAAAGTTGAATTGAGACTATAATGAGTTAAAACAGGAAAAGCTATGTATAGATATGAGTGAATGCGTGTGACCTTGTAAGCAAATTTTCCCAGGAAAAAATCTTCAAAACTTTCTAATCAGAGAGTTAATCTTATAAATTTTTCCCCTATAGATGGAATAATGTCATTTTGAACTATGTGCTTCTTATTTTTTTGCTATTATTTTTGCTAGTTAGTGTGTACATCTTGCTTTGCTTCAAGCTCGTATATCCGCATATAATGCTATTATTTTTATGCATGTTTTGCATTGGTGATCACATTTATTTTCAATTTGCCTTCTTTTAGAACAAACAGAGGTTCTCAAACTTACATGATCTGTACCCCTTCTCTTCTACTGAAATATCCTGTGAAGGCCTTCCCCCAGGCTCCCCTAGGACTATACCCTCCATGGCTTTCTCGGTAAGCGGAGGGCCCAGTTTGAGACGATTCTAAAACTTGGTATTTTGTGATTATATATGATAGTACGTCATAAGAAACCTTTATGTGATGTAGTACAAATCGTATCAATATTTTATGTAGCATGGTGCATGGTGTTTTATGCATGATACTTTCTATTCTATCTCTATAAAACTTGTTATCTGGGGAAACACGGTAGTTAGGTCCAGCGCTCCAACTGCTTGTGAATTGATAAAAATATGTGCTGTCTGATAATTACATATTTATTTTGAACACAGTACTAGAAAAATATTGTAATGTTTCAAAACCTCTGCATGAGCAGGACAACAAAATACAAAGTGTTCCATTGTAATCCATGTCAAACATTTCAGCAAGTGTTTCATTTAACACTGTAAAAAATTTCAAAGTTCATTTTTTAGTATAGGCCAAAATTTTCCGTAAACAGGCCAAAGCAAATTTGATTTATACAAATGCAATTTTTTAGAAAATCAAAAACATGCAATTAGTATGATATGCATTTTAATATTTTTATAATTCTTCATGTTTTGTATTTTTTCAAGTCTGTAGCAGAAAATTAAAATGCATGTGGACACCAAAATTTGGGGGCTCCTGATGTAAGCGTCCCAAGATGGCGGACACCGGAACGTAGCATGTGTACCAAGTTAGGGTTAGGCCATAATTTTAGGTACAAATACTACGGGAGTTATTCGGCTAGTACCCGAACTTTTAGTAGAACTAAAATAAGGAAAATTGGAATAAAATTATGGCCTAACCCTTACCTGGTACACATATTATGTTCCGGTGTCCGCCATCTTGGTACGCATACTTCAGGAGTACCGAAATTTGTGTAGTCAAAGTCAAAAGCTGTAATGTAGTTATAGTTCTTAAAGCTGTTCTCTCTTAAACCAATTTATAATACGAATACTAGTTTGGACTCGTTGAATGAAACTGGACTCGTTGAATGAAACTAAAACTATTCTGTATATGCAATTATTCCCTTTAGTTTTTAAAATGAAATTTGATTCCTGTTGCACACACATCCATCTGTACCGAATTTCACGTTCTATTTCCATACCTGACATAGTCTAGGGTAAAGTAGGTATGTGGTAACAGGATAATAATCCTCGTTTACAATGTTCTTTCTTCCATTGTTCTATCATAATTTATTGCAAAGCTTAATTTATATGATAATTATTCAAAGTCATGTGAACCGGTTTATTCAAGAAATTGTTTGTGTGGGTGCTCTCTTATTGTTTGAAGCAACATTTTAGGCCTAATTTGAATATATTTCACCTTTTTGCCTGTGTTTTAAATATATGTGCCATAATTGAATGAAGAGTTTTTATTACAAATGGGCGAGTTGGACAGTATGTGCAAGTATAAATGGTGTGGCTTTTTCATGGCCCTCTTTGTTTAATCCAGAGTATTGACCTGATAATTTTAGTCTAGAATCATTTGGACATTTTCTAAGCCCTCTTGGTGTCTGGGTGATTTGTTCCATTTCAGACTTTCTCAAAAGTTAGTAGATACATGCGCAACTCCTAATTTTACATGAAAAATTATGCTATATCATTTTTAAAACCGAGGAAAAGATATTTGATAAGTATATATATTATAGCAAATCAACATTGCAAACACATTGGATGCAGAGGTTCAGGTAAAATTTGTTTTTAATTTCATACCCTCTCACTCTGGACAGGCAGTTAATGCTACCCACCGAGAAGTCGTAATGTACACTTGGGGGTATATGTACTGCAGTTTGGGAGCCCCCGAGGTAACATATGGCTTCTAGCTGTCTAGGTTGGTTGGTAAAGAAAATTGCCACTGACCAGCGAAGGATAGGCGTTCTACCCTGCAATCATATCTCACGCGGAACCAAATTAGCCGTCGCTGCCGAATAGCGTATAACACTAACAACCCTGAATCAATTGATTTTGCCAAATGTTTAAAAATCACAGAATTCGATAGCGGTGCGATGACAAGAACTTTTCTAACGAAAAACGACCCGCCTGAGGTTTTGCGCATCTTGAATCGCCCCAAGCATTTTACTGAACTCTCTCAATTCAATTTCCGGGGCTATCAAGCTCGTTCGACAACATGCCTGAATTGGGCCTTCTGCTGCAGCTATTTACTTTAGCCATTTTTAACGTGAATAAAAATCCGAACGTGACAGCAAAACACATCACGTAAGGTAAAAAAAGGAATCAATGTGGAGACGGTGTTGCGCTGCCGCGAACTTCTATTTGGCAACGTTTGTCGTTGGAGGGTTCGACTCGACTGTTTTCAGTAACTCAATACCAGATTGTCGATGCAAACAATGCGATTTTGAACGTCTGGCACGAATTTCTTGGATTCTAACTCCTGAAATAGAGAAAAATCAGAATGCCTACAGATAGGGTTGCCAACCGTCCTTTATTTCAAAGGACAACCTTTTATTTGAGATTTTTGTCCTTGTCCTTTTTAAGATGATAATTGTCCTTTATTTTTTCCAACGTCGTTTTGCGCGATAGTTATAAGACTGTGTTTGATATTGTTCCGTTCTTTAATCACCTTCGTTCATGTATTTGCAAGCTTTTAATTATTCTTTTTAATTTCGCTTCGGCCCGGCTCAAATAGTAAAAGAAATACCAATGTCTTTAACATTTCAAATATTTTACATTAATTTTCCGAAGATGGCAAGTTGCAACACTCCAAGAGGCGTCGAAAAAAGAAGAACAAATTTCGATTAATTTCAAATAATTCCTGCGGAAGTAACAATAACTTCATTAAATGCTTTGTTCAGTATTTCAATATTAATTTTTTAATGAAAATCATGGAACCCCCAATAAAGATAAGAAGCGCGTGTGTTCATTTAATAAAGACTGGAAAAATGTATCACTTGTGAAAGTGTTTTTACTATTGCATACATGAGTGCTTTAACAGTAGCACAACGTGCAAAATCAGCCTGTCACAAAATTAGAACCATGGATTTTGCTTCATTTTCTGTAATGGTTAAATTTTTGGTGAAAAAAATTCAGAAAAAGAGGATATTGTAGTTGCTTTAGAAATAGCTCATATATATAACGTAGTTAAACATAGTCATTCATATAACTCGCTGGATTGCGATTGAAATTGAATTCTAAAATTTACAAGGATCAGAAGTTGCTACCAAAGTATCTAATGGTCGAACCAAATACGAGGCAATCGTCACAAATGTGCTAGGTGAGAAGGCATTAGCAGTGATTATGGAAGATTTGAAACAACATGATCCTCTGTTAAATTTGGCATTCAAATTGATGCTTCAAATCACAAAAACATGGAAATGTTTCTAGTCTGTGTTCAGTATTTTAGCTTGGAACACGGCACAGTTACTTGTATTATTGATTTCTTCGAGAATGCAGATGAAAGTACGGATGGAATGTTTACTTGTTTGAAAAACACTAGTGAGAATTTACAACTTGACTGGAAAAGGGTTTCTTGTTTTAAGTGCAGATAAAGCAAATTGCAACTTTGGAGGAAAACATTTTCTTTATACTAATGTTCGCACACTAAATGATGGTATTTTTAGGGCTAACATTGTTTAATATTGTTCTTTCCTGCAAGTTACAAAATAAATGATGACGGTAATCTATGTCCTTTATTGAGACTTTTCATAGTTGGCAACCCTACCTACAGACTATAAACATAGGTGAATGCTTTTTAATATAAGCCGTCTGTCTGCTTGAATATACCTTGGCTTATTCCCGTAAATACAATTACATAATGCTGAATAACATTTTACTGCATTTCTGATGGACAGCAGATATGTTAGGCTCCGCTCGGGTTTGCCCTAAATACAGTACTCTTCCCAGCCATTATAATACCAGATTACCCCAGAACAGAAATAAAACGCAGCTGATTTGCTGGTCTTAAGTATCTGCTTATCCTAACCGCTAAGACAAAATATAATCGAGGCAACACCGGGTTGATAAATAAGTATTTACCAGGTTCCATGGTGCCTTGGTTTGTAACTGTGATGTCAGAATACGTCCAATGGCGTTCACTTCCTTTGCGGAATCCGGATCGTCAGTTCAGGTATTTCAATAATTGCTTGATAGGCGTGTAGCAAGTATATGAAAAATACGATTATAAAATGCTGCAACTGGCTGCAATCGAGCCTCAGGTCGTGGAATTACAGCACTCGTTTCAAAACATTGTTTGTTTGTGCTCGACCGTCTGGGAG